AACAGCGGTATATACCAGTACCTATTTTTTATAAAAGGTCGTAAATCATGCGGCGATGGTAAAAAGATCTTTGGTCAAACCGCAGCGCTAATGAGTCATCGTGGAAAAAACTTTGAAACCGATAAAAGAGCGCATCCTTTTTCATTGTGATAAATATTTTTTTGATATGCCTAGATAGAACTGGATGGCAGTAGATTTTCTATCGTTTCCACAATTGTTTCTGATTCGACCGACATTATTCCCGAGGTAATCCTAATTCAAATTATACGCGTAAATAAACGTTTATAAAGTTATATTTTTCAAAATATTTCATGTTTCGGGAACTCAAGAAATATTATCGTTTATTGTGAGAACCTCACCGTAACCCTTGATTATATACACTAGTGTGAATACTCAATGCCGTAACATAACTGTGGTAACATCGCCGTATATTCTTGAATTTTTCTAGGTATTTTGGAGTAGTCTGAGAAATGATATAAAATAATGGTAATTTGATATCCCACTGAAATTATGAAATTGTAATTTTTTACACATGCCAGACCCTCGTAAACATTGCAAATAAGGAATGTATATTTCATCTCCATTCATAAATGTTAATTCCTATCAATTCTGAGAGCGGCGCCACTCTCTGGATACAAATTGTTGCCATGCAAGGGTTTCGTAGTCCCTAACTTTTTAGGTTGATTTTTCATTTTGAGTGGATGAAAAAATTTGTACATATTTGTGAAGATCTAATCTATGTTCCTGTCGTCTCACTTTTTCGAAATTTGATTTAGTTTTTTCTAAAAAAAATCGCAAAATAACGTGTTTTTTGATGATTTTCCAAATTTTTTTTTGGAAGAACCGAATCGAATTTCGAAAAAGTAAGACGACAGGAACATAGATAAGATCTTCACGAATATGTACAATTTTTTTCATCAACTCAAAATGAAAAATTACCCTGAAAAGTTAGGGACTACGAAACCCTTGCATTATTGCTTTATATCATAGTACAACTTCCTCTTAACTTTGTATTTATTGACATTTAATCGAAACAAATACAGGATGGTTCATAATTCAGATTTCTGCACCACCCTGTATCTGTTTCGATTGAATATCGAATGGAAAGTTGAAATAGGGACATTGAAGCCGTTTTGACCATGCAATAATAAATATTTTCAACACAAAACATTTCTAAAGTTCAAACATCTAAATTTTCCACGTCCTATATCTCAGTTATCAGTCCCGCTAGACCTTGAATGTTTTGAATCGATGAATTCTGCTGTTCAGCAAGAATCCGTGAATGTAATGAAATACAGGGTGTCCCATTTGAAAAATCAAAGTTACTGCTACTTTCGAGTAGAAGCGGCAACGCCGGATTGTTTCAAATATTTCAGACGTGTAGATCATGTTAATTTATACATACCTTCGAATTTTTAGATTTATCCGTTGCCTGGTTTGCCAGAAACATCTAATTAACGCTTATCATGAAAAGCCCTAGTTTCGATGACGGACCTGCAACTAAGTCTGGAACAAAGAACGATATGAAATACTCCTTCTAAATTTAATACTCACGTATACTGAATAGGAAGTAATAAAATTAATAAATCTCGTCTGATTCCAATTTTGTACCCCAAAATGAACAAAAATAATATTTTGAGCACATAATATGAATAGTTAAAATCGTCTGTGCACGAATAAAAAGCACATCGTTGAATATAAATTTTGATGTTCTTTTCAGATATGGCAAAAAAAATGAGAAATTCGAATGTATAGGGTGTTGTTTTCTGGCAGAAAGAATTTGTGAATTTTAAGTGGAGCCGGACGTGGATATTATCTTTTGTTGTTGCCTCAATCAATTCCACAGGATAGATTGAGCAAGTGTACCAATTTTCAAAAATATATACAGGTTGGTTGGAAAGTTATGAGACAATGAAGATATGGACAAAATTGATGAAACATCCTGTATCTCGGTTATAAGAAGTCGAAGACCCATCAACCATGGGTTTTTTGGAATCACCCCAGTGACCCCTATCCACAGTTGAATTATTTACCTTTCCCAATGAAACACCCTGTATGTGTATTGTACACGTGAAGAAAACAAAAAAAAAACATAAAATATGTTCTTATACGATTCTCATTTGTTTTCATTCTGAATTTGAAAATATGTGTGTTATTTTATCAAAGACTTTAATCGTACAAAGTCGATTTCTTGGTCTGTTTTGTTGTTCTGACATGTGTTAGTGTTAGTGTCACGTTAGTGTCAGTGTCAAGGTGTTTGACGCGTAACATATGGGTTTTTTCGAATTATTTTTATGTGTACAATACACACCTGGAGTGTGGTGCGTTCCACCCGACTCACCCTGTTTATTGCAATCGAGCTATAGAGCCCTCCCACAATACGTGGACACATGATATCTGTCGGTTAATCAATAATCATTAGAGGATAAACATTTATTTAAAACCACTTCCTAACTGGGACTTTATTTGCATGGGCAGATACGAGTAGAGTTTCGTTTACCTGATTCAATCCCCTTCTCAAAAATGGTATACCGAGTGGTATACTTACTACGAGTAGAGCCCTGAGTCGTAGGAGGTCATAGAAAATGAATAGGACAATTGCACGCGAGTTACATTCGGTGTTATGGTTCAACTGCGCGCGGATTGAACTTGTCCATACGAAATGCTCCTAACAAAAACGTGAGGAAGGATCATATCTTAGAAAGGAGACTACTTTTTCTAAACAATCTAACCTCACTTGGCCTAAATGAACCTTCTTCATAAAATGTCTATTTTTCGGAAGTAGACTACTATTTCTAAACAATCTAACCCTACTCGGTCTCAATGAACCTTCTTCCTATAAAGTATATATTTTGTCAACACCGATCCATCTGTTAATAAATTTGTCAGGAAGAATCATATCTTAGAAAGGAGGCTACTTTTTCTAAACAATATAACCTCACTTGGCCTAAATGAACTCTCTTCGTAGACAGTTCATTTTTTGGAAGTAGACTACTATTTATAAACAATCTAACCTTACTAGGCCTTAATGAACCTTCTTCCTATAAAGTATATATATTTTTAAAACCTATCCAGCTCTTAACAAAATCGCCAATAAGAATCATATCTTAGAAAGGAGGCAACTTTTTCTAATCAATCTAACCTCACTTGACCTGAATGAACCTTCTTCATAGAAAGTCTATTTTTCTATTTTTCCGAAGGAGTACGATCTCTATCAGTATCGGAGCTACAAGAAGCCAAAGATTAATTATTTTTTTCTATCAATTAGGATATCTTGCTCTCTAATGAAGCTATCAATTTGAAATTCAATGAGGTAGTTACTTCCTAGAAGATCATTATTTTTACTTTTTTCAAAATCTACAGAGTGATACATTTTTGGAAGTACAGGCTTCTTTATCTCCCCCCAAATTTTTTGTATCACCCCTCTAACATCATCTAGTCACCAGATTATGTGGATTGCTCAATTTAGAGACTTTTATTGCTCTTCAACTTTTTTAGAGGAACGAACCGTTTTCGAAATAAATATCCGTTCTAAAACATGTTGAATTTGCCTACGTTCTGATTTGATTTTATTCTTGGAGAAAATATAACCAAATTTGAATACGAAAAAAAACTTGACCTTCTACCCTTTGTATCTCCGCTACTGATCCTGTTTCTAATATCAGTAAATTTCATTATATTTCATTATATTTCAACGTCCAATAGTAAAATTTAAGTGAAACAATATAGGCAAAATTAACATGTTCTTAAAACGAATATGCTTATTTATTTCGAAAACGCTTGGTTTCTCGAAATGAATTGGAAGGCAAAAAAGCCTCTAAATTTAACGTTATATTTAATTTCTTAACTGGAAGATGTCAGAGGCGTACTACGAAAAAGTTTGTGGGAGATAAGGAAGCCTTTACCCCAAAAAACATATCACCCTGTAGATTCTGAGAATCTATAAGATGCCTGAAATTATGATCTTCTAGGAATTATCAACCACACTCAATTTCTACTTGATATCTTCAAAAGCGAGCGAGATATATTAATTAATAGAAAAAATAATTAAACTTTGACCCCCTGTAGCTCCGTTTCTGATCGAGATCAGACTCATGTTTATATAAACTTTTCTGATAAAAATGATGAAGTCTATCACCCATCTATTTTTGTGCCTTTAAATCTGAATCACCCTGTATACTGTGCCCATACCGGGACTCTACTCGTACCTAGTATTTCAGGGCAAGTAATAAACTGGACTATACTCCGATTTGCACAATACTTTGATTTGACGGATAACTAACTGACAGATAAAATGTTTTGCATTTTTATTCGTAGGCTTTGATTCATCAAATTCAAATCTTGTCAGATTACTTTTCAATTTCATAAGCACTTCCTGACTCGGAAGGTAAACACATGTATGAATTCCATTTCAGCATATATTGTGCGAACAATTTTGTTATCATTATTCCAGATTTCTTAGGATTTTTTCTCCTCGTTTCTATAAAATGAAAATATGAATATTCCACTATACGTGTAGTAAGGACAAATCAGATGATTTGCCCCAAAATGTCACTGACAAGCTAGTGAATTTTTATTTTAGGCTTTCTGATAGGAAAATTCTTTGAACGCAGTGACATTTCGTGGCAAATCATCTGATTTGTCCTCACTACACGTATATTGGAATAATATTCATATTTTGTTTTCATAAAAACGAGGAGAGAAAATCCCAAAAAATCTGGAATAATGAATTTACCACGTCCTCGATTAACCTACAGACCGTATTGAAATTTGTTATCATTTGACGAATCATTTGAAAAAAAAAAAAAAAAGAAATGAAATTGCCGAATCGTCCTGAAAAAATGCTTGGGAAACCAAATGAAAAAAATTAATAGATAATAGTAGGATAGTTGAATCTATGATGAAAAAAAAACAGTAATGTGAAAATTCTAGAAACTTACATTCAACTGAATGTGAGGACTAATTGAGAAAAAAGCTTATATAACTTCTTAACCAAATATTTCAGTGATTCATTTTGAAGATGGAGAAAGTTTGTGGATTTTGTCTGATCAAAGGAAGCCAATATGAAATAATTGAAAACCTGCTGAAAGACTTATTGGATACATTGCTGATACCATTGGTAAGTAATTTTTGATTCAAGCCATTATTAGTAAGTGAAAATCACTAATGTCATCGGATTTACGAGGTGAGCCAAGTGCAACTGTAACGGTACGTCACAGCAAAAACGTCCATTCATTCAAAATAGTAGCTGATAAAATTGTATACAAATTATATAAGTCGTATTTTTCCCAATCTTTCATAGTTTTCGAGATATCTACTAGCGAATCATGTACATTTTTGAAAATCTAGCGTATTTTGACGGATCAACCTTCAGTTTTTCACCAAAGTCTTCGACGAAGAAGTCGCAAAAGATTCAATTACCTTCAAAATGTTATGTCATATATGTTTATTTTTTATATACTGGTGAGTCAGAATAGGACTGAAAAACTTCCTTACCTCATTTTCAAATGAAAAGTTCCTATCATCGTATGTCCTGGAATGCATCCTCTTTGAGATACAGGGTGTCAAAAGTTCGATGAAAAAAACATGTTTAATATTAATTTCTTGAAACTTGGTTGGCACACTATTCCAGATTAATCAGTGAAGTCACATGGAGTTTCCATTTTTGAATTTTGATCAACAGTGGCGACATACGACCACATTTTCCTTCATATTTTTTCATTGACAGATGAAATGTGAAATTGGTGTGTGACATGAGTTAGGCTTATTGATACTCTACCTAAACGTAATAATATTTCACATACCTAAATGTAGAGGTTCCTGAGATATTTGCGAAAATCTAAAGGAATGTCTCGATAATATTACTACTTGTTGAACACAAAAAATTGTAATGCTCCATTCTTTCAAACCTAAAACAGCTAGTATCTCAACTCGATCTCAAACAGGTTGCACTTTGAGACAGAACTCAATATAATCTGTTCACGTTGAGATAACGTGGGAAAGACAAAGAGAGTTTTTCGATCTAGTTCTGACACATCCGCACTATGTTTCAAAGTTCCGAAGAATTTAATGTAAACCTTGATTTTTTTCGTACTTCTGACATCCTGTATCTCAGATCATGCATTTTAGACATACGTTGATAGGAACTTTTCACTTCAAAATGAGGTAAGGAAACCGTATACGAAGTTTGTCGGTCTTATTCTGACTCACCCTGTATACAGTGTGACCCACTTCTAATGGAAACAACCCTGTATCTTACGTAATCGTTGGGTTAGGATCCTGAAATTTGCTGGAGCGAGAGATATACCAAAAATGCACTCTATGACCAAGTGGGGTCATCTTCAGTGATATACACTGCTCGCCAACAGCCATGAAACTACCCCAATTTCCGGAAAATGATATTAGGAGTCAAAATAGGCCGAAAATCACTTCAGATTCGGAATCAGGACGCCCAATTCACTAACTATTCAAATTTTTCCTAGACAATTTTCAGTTCTGGAAAATAAAATTTTGTCGCACTTTTCATAGAAGCACCCCCGTATCTCACGTAATTGAATTTATCTTTGGACGTTCTCTTCCTCCTGCAATTTTCAGAACCGTACCTCAACAATTACGTGAGATACGCGGGTTCTTCCATACAGGGTTCGGAGTAATAATTATCATCTATAATTATACCTTGATAAATATCTTGATAATTATGAAAATCCACATTAACTCTAGGTGTACTTTGTAACTTTGCATTATTAGCGTTTTCCACTGGAATGCCCACAAATAACCTCAAAATTTATGTCAAAAAATCTGAAAACAAACGTGTTCGTTCGTATGTTGAATTAAAATTTAAAAATAATATACAAAATGCCGAGAATTAAAGATTCCGTGTGGAGCCAACATGTGTGTATATCAAAACAAAAAACAGTGGTTGGGCAAGGTGCCGGAAGTGCAAAAAGGAAATGCAAGGCATCCTTGATAGACTTAAAAACATTCAAGTAGTTGTAGTCCATCGACAGATACATCAACAGCGGCAGTATCTACTAACTTACAACCTGCAAATAATTCGTCTACGCCTGCAACTGTATCACAACCACAACAGTCACCAGCGACAGAATCCAGCAAACCAAACATAATTCAAACCAAGCTTGCAATTACAAGAATTTTGAATTTATAAATTTTTTTATTTTATATTTAGTTTTATTCATTTATATTTATTTATATAGTTTCAAATAATAAAGAAGTTGATATAAATGCCTTTCTCATTTTAATACACAACATATTTGAACTGAAAAAATAATTTGTAAGTGAAAATATGACGAAAATAAGTTGTCTGTCAGTATTGATAATTATCAGATAATTATCTGATAATTATTATCCGATAATTATCTGATAATTATAAAAAAAAAAAAATTATCTTGATAATTACGAACCCTGCTTCCGTGAGAAGTGAGAAAAAATTTAATTTTTCTGAACTGAAAATCATCTAGGAAAACTTTGAATAGTTAGTAACTTGGGCGTCCTGATTCCTAATCCGAAGTGATTCTCAACCTACTTTGACTCCTAATATCATTTTCCGGAAATTGGGGTGGTTTCATGGCTGTCGGCGAGCAGTGTATATCACTGAAGATGACCCCACTTGCTCATATAGTGCATTTTTGGTATATCTCTCGCTCCAGCAATTCAGGATCCTTACCCAACGAGTACGTATGATACAGGGGTGTTTCCATTAGAAGTGGGTCACACTGTATATACATATACAGTGCATGGTTCCATGGCTGTTGGCGAGCAGTTTGTATAACTGAAGAAGACTTCACATGGTCATAGTGTGTATTTTCGGTATATATCCCGCTCCTGCAAATTTCAGAATCCTGATTCAACAATTACGATAGATACAGGGGTGCTTCCATTAGAAGTGAGACACTCTCTATAAGTAAATACTCGTTTGGCAAAAATAATTTTCCTATAGAGAAACCGTGTAATGGGTAAGCGTCGTTGCCCCACCTACTCGATTATGGCAGGGGTGGCAAACGATAATCCCTGGGGTTGGACCAAGCAATGGACTCGCTTGAAGGAGGAGCTAACTCGATACGAAGTGTATGGCAACGTCGCCGTTCTCTTCGGTAAAATGCCCATGCACAGATAACACAAGGTTTCCCGATACGAAAATTATTTTTGCCAGGCGTGTATACGAAAATTATTTTTGCCAGGCATGTATATCAAAAATACATATTATGTTACAACATTTTGAAGGTAACTGAATCCTTTGCGTATTCTTCGTCGAAGACTTCGATGAAAAAGAGAAGGTTGAGTTGTCAAAATTTACATGATTAAATAAATACGCGAAGCTCAAAGTTATTTCCAAAAATGTTCATAAATGAACGAGAATGGTAGATAGCGAGAGAAAAACAACTACTTTCCTGGCTATATGCCACGCAGAACATTGAATTGCATCCTCCCGAAATCTATGCAATAATTCGTATAGGCGAATACAATCGCAAGTGTTTCCTTCCTTCTATACGAATTATTACATATAATTCGGGAGGACGTTATTCATTTTTTTGCGTGGCATATAGCCAGGAAAGTAGTTGTTTTCCTCTCGTTATTTACCAATTTAGTTCATTTATGAACATTTGTGGAGATGACTTTGAGCTTAGTGTATCTATTCAATATTTCAATCCACTCTGAGCATTTTGGCTTTTTCTTAGTTATTTACATGATTCGCTAGCAAATATCTCGAAAATTATGAAAGATAGCGAAACATCCTATAGGGCTCCGTGGCCGAGTTTGTCTGCGCTGAAATTCGCTAGATAGCCGTTCACGATGCAGAGGTACTGTCGGTTCGAATCCGGCTATCGGCTGAGCAATTTTCTCTCGAATTTTCTTCAAATGCCCTAGAAGTGGTTCGGAGTCCACTATAAGCTGTAGGTCCCGCTCTTCCTAACCCCGCACAAGTTTCGACTTCTGGGGAGTTGATTCCCAACTTTCAAGTAGCGATATACAAATTTTACAAATTTTACAAAAATCCTACTGATACAATTCTGTATACCATTTCATTAGCTACAATTTTGAATAGTATGACTTTTTTGCTGTGACGTCCGTTTTAGAGATATGAACGATAAATCAAAAAAGGTACCTTCTGCATTTGGCTCACCTTGTAAGTTCGAGGAATCTTGGAATTTTTACTTTTTTTCTACCCAAAACACATCCTTAGTGTCAGAAATTCGGTCCTCTTCCATGTCCTCTACACCCTCTTACTGGGCGTTGATTGACTAAAGAACGAACTGAGATACAGTTCTCAACACACTAAATGGACTACTCATAATTTGACTCTATTTCGAAAACCTGTATGTTTTTAAGAAATTGACCGATCTTCATGCGGTTTTCGATATCAGATGTGATGTTTCATCGGCTTCAAAGAGAGCTAGAACACTCTGAGAGAGGCCGCAGAACAAAACTTACACAGGGTGTAAAGTGGAACCATCACACTATGGTCTACATATCCAATGCTGCCAGAACTCGAGAAATTTTTTTCTGATGAAAAGTCAGTCATACTATGATACACTGGGACCTCATCTCAGGACATTTTCGTGATTTTTCCTCAATTGGCCATTGGAACAAAAATTGCATTTCTTTTCTCAAGAACTCCACTTGAGCTGAGTATTGGGAAGATATGTTCTCATGTTTTGCGGAGGACAATGAAAGGCGAAAAATGCACTATTGTGGAATATACAGGATGATAAGGAAATAGGACAAAATCTCATTTCAGTAAAAAAAATAAGAAATGGTGACTAAAACCATGGCCCATTCGATTCAGTATATTCAGGAACGGCCTTCTCGATATCCATTATTTCGAATTTGCCTTCAATTGAAATACAGGATGGAAATTTTCAACACAAACTTGTTTTCTGATATCAATGATTCTTATCAACTGATTTCCAATATTTATTGCCCAAGTATGAGACACAGAGTATTGTTGTTCAATATACTGAGTGTATATGGCCAATAAAGGAGGAATCACGAAAACGTCCCGAGATGAGGTCCCAGGGTATCATAATATGACTGACTTTTGATCAGAAAGAAATTTCTCGAGTTCTGACAGCATTGGAAATGTAGACCATTGTACTGGTTCCACTTTACACTCTGTGTAAGTTTTGTTCTGCGGACTTTTTCAGAGTGTTCTAGCTTCCTGAACTCTCCACGTAGCTATTCTCATAAATTAATAGAAATTAAATGAAATCAAGCAAATCCCAATCACATTATCATTAGTTATCCAGAGATATTATTATTATCACTATTATTCAATTATGTACTGTCTTACTTTTACTTATGGCTCTTTTTCCCCTTTTCCTTTTTTTCCTATCTTTTTCTTTTGAAAATCAAATAGGTAGGTAGGTGATATTTTTGTTTGTATTCCATATACACATTATTCTTTCATCAGTACAATATTGTTATTGATTAACTCTATACAGTGTGTCCCACTTACCATGCTCACCATGGGTATCTTTTTAACGGTGAGAGATACGAGGTCGGTTAAAGGACACCAAATGTGGAGTTTGTCAAGGCCGACTATAATGTGAAAAAATATTTTGATAAAATCTATTCGTTTTTGTTTTATACGCAAAAAACAGATTTTGATCATTTTCATGTCTCCTCCATAACTTCTTTATTTATAAAAATATTCTAATAGGAATTTCACATTCTCATGGCAGTTTTTCAAAGTGATTTCGAAAAAAATATGAAATTTATACCAACTCTTCTAGAATTTGAGATATCAGCACCAACTTTAGTTTTTCAAATGTAGGTCATAGCTCACTATGACTTAGTTACAAATAACTTTTTTTTCTCTTACAGATGATATGTCGCAGTAATAGTTTTGTGTTGATAACAATGGAGTTATCATCATTTATACAAAAACGAAAAATTATTTGGAAGCCGCTATCTTGAATTTTTAAATTTCAACAAAAAAATCATGATCTCCGACCTCGAAAACCCCCACTAACCAATTTTGAATGGATTCGGACCAAATCTTGTCCGCCATCTTGGAGCAGCCATTTTTTTAAATTTCAACAAAAATTCCATAACTCCGATTGACTTGAAATTTGGCAGGTGTTCATAATTTCGATGACTATACATTATGGAATTTTTGTTGACATTAAAAAAAATGGCTGCTCCAAGATGGCGGACAAGATTTGGTCCGATTCCATTCAAAATTGATAAGTGGGGGTTTTTCAGGTCGGAGATCATGATTTTTTTGTTAAAATTTTCAAATTCAAGATGGCGACTTCCAAATAATTTTTAGTTTTTGTATAAATGACGATAACTCCATTGTTATCAACACAAACCTATTACTGCGATATATCATCTGAAAGAGAAAAAAAGTTATTCGTAACTAAGTCATAGTGAGCTATGATCTTCATTTGAAAAACTTAAGTTGGTGCTGATATCTCAAATTCTAGAAGAGTTTGTATAAATTTCATATTTTTTTCGAAATCACTTTGAAAAACTGCCATGAGAATGTGAAATTTTTATTTGAATATTTTCATAAATAAAGAAGTTACGGAGGAGACATGAAAATGATCAAAATCTGTTTTTTGCGTATAAAACAAAAACGAATAGATTTTATCAACATATTTTTTTACATTATAGTTGGTCTTGACAAACTCCACATTTGGTGTCATTTAACCGACCTCGTATTTCTCATCGTTAAAAAGATACCCATGGTGAGCATGGTAAGTGGGACACACTGTATATTTTCATGTAAGTGAAAGTTGTTTACAAGATTTTTGAACTTACTAAAGTCATGATACCCACAAACTAATCTTATGATTTCAGTGGGCTTATCGACTTCTTATTTTCAAAATGTCTTTAATCTCTTCAAATTTAATTTTGTATGATATTATTTGGAAATAAATTATCATTATTATTATTATTATTATTATTATTATTATTATTATTATTATTATTATTATTATTATTATTATTATTATTATTATTATTATTATTATTATTATTATTATTATTATTATTATTATTATTATTATTATTATTATTATTATTATCCCTTTGAAGCCGATGAAATATCACATCTGATATCGAAAACCGCATGAAGATCGGTCAATTTTTTAAAATATTACAGGTCTCCAAAATAGAGTCAAATTATGAGTGGTCCATTTAGTGTGTTGAGAACTGTATTATGATATTGATATTTTTGTTGTATAATTGATTTATAGTTTCGTTTTCATTCCTTACCAAAATTATACTACAGGTTCTAGTTAGTGTAATAGGAAATATATCGTGCTTTGATACGGAACAATCATATCTTAAGGTATCAGTGTATTAGTGTGTTTTCCGGTATGCATAAACACATGTCTAAGAAAGTTGGCAACAAATGGAAAACTTTTATTAATAATTTTACGTAAAGAAGTTATTCTCGTCATTAGATATTTGAACGTAGTTTTCAATTCTAGTAAACTTTTTTCAATAACAATTTTCGATATTGTCTTCTTTCTTTAGCAAAATCAATGTTTCTTGACATACCTCGTGAGCATACAACTGAAAAAAATTATATCGGATGATTTCATTTTTTGTTTCATTATCGGATGATTTCATTTTTTGTTTAATGCCTTACAGAAATTTTTATGAACAATGATTTTTTCTAAAATCAATAATGAAAAACTTTTCCATTTTTGTCATTTTTTTCAGACATACTGTATATTGGTGTCCTGAATAACGTGTCAAACGTTCCCGAGGTTGGAGACTACACTAGGCATTTGACAGCAATTTAAAATCAAATAAAAATTACAATGATTTCAATGATTCTACACTAAAGGTTCAATTTATTGTCAGTGATATACACTGCTCGCCACTAGTCAACCTATCTTCTCCTAATATCATTTTTCAAAAATATCAATGAATACTGGCGAACAGTGTATCTCACTGACGATAATCCCATGTCATTGAGTGTCTCTTGGTAGTTCTCTCGCTCTTTCGAATTTAAGAATTATAACTCCGAAATTCGGGAATAAACCAGGGTGTATCCTTCAGAACTGGAACACATTGTGTGGTGACCCTCTAACCAAATTCGGCCTCTATAATGATGTTTCTCTAATGCATCAGCATTCTCAGAAAGGGGAAGTTTGATTCAGATGATTTTTATTAAATGAGGTCGGAACTCTCCAGTTTTATGTCCACCCTATACAGAACGGCGATCGATAAAGTCCAAGTCGTTTTTATTTTCAAAATGAAGCAATTTCTAATTTTCGGGACTGCAAAATGTGACGTACATACATGAATCAAGTCTGAAGCCGAATGAAATATTCTTACGGAATCTCCCACGCAGCATAATTAATTTCCGATGATTCTGCTGCTAGGAAGATTATATGTGACAATTCCCATACAATGTTATTTGTCGAAGTGGCAATAATGGATTTTCACGATACAAATATCGTAAAGTCGCATATTACGATGATATGAGATGTGGAATTTGTCCATCGATTATTATAATATGAATTTACGAAACGAATATAGTACAATATTTCACCTACTACCAAAAACGCTGATTATTTTATGAAAAATAGTTGATATTCCTTGAATTAATGATTTATTAAGAATATGTATCAAGCAAGCATTGCAATGGTTGGGTGCATACGTGAATCTGTTGTGTTCTCGGTTGTCACTTATTTTGTGAACTATCAACTTGGACGCATTCATTTCAAGTTGAGAAATAAATTGATTGACATGAATTCCGATCACGAAAGTACAGATTCAGCTCTAGTACCTGCATCATCTATGATGAATTAGTTCTTATATTTATTGTTTCAGTAAAAAACTGAAGATTGAAATTATTACCGCACATGTGCGGTAAAGTATATCATTAAGATACTGAAATCAGTATCGTAATGATTCATATTACATATTGTTGATAGGTAAAGTATCATTATTGTTATTATTTTTCCAGGATTTTACGACACTGAAAGAACCCATTAGTTGCAAGGAATGTGTGAAACAACTCCATGAATTGTTCAATTTCAAAACTCTCTGCCTGTACACAGAAGATGCTCTGATCCCGTTCCTCGAAAAGAATAATGGTGAAGTGTCTCAGTTGAATTTGGAATCGGTGTATTCTGTGAACAAGTTGCTGCGATGCACGAAAACGGGAGAGAAACCACAAATTTGTAGATTATGTTTGGAAATAAGCACACATTGTTTATCTTTGGACACGGCAATCTTGGAAAGTAAAGTTCGGAATGTGTTCGAAAATTATCTACCGGAAATAGTAAGTATAGTATATATCTTCTCTCTAAATGATCTCTTCTCGTCAGTACTTATTAGTTATGTGATTTTAACTCAATAGATTTCTAATAGGGTTGTTCACACTAGGGTCTCTTCATGTAAATTGACGTATTTGTCATCTTAACAGGGTACGGACAGATCCTCGCCTCCTCTCACTCTTAAGTGTTGGTGAATCAGTTATTTAGTTCCATCTTTATTCATTTCTGGTGATAAACACTAGTTTTCTGACATTTGTTGTTTTTTAGGTTATATTGAGGACATTGGCGTATCATACGTAATTTCCAGAAGTAATTTCTCATTCAACTCTCTACATATTATATCCAAATGTTAATGATAATTTTCGAGTTTCTGATTTTTCAACTCCATCATAATCTTTGTGAGGCAGTGAGCAAATTTTTCTGAAAGTTTAATACGTTTTACCAAATGGGACTGTTCTTAGGCAGTACCTATCAATAAATGAATTTTTATTTCAGACATATGGTTGACAAATGGTGACAAATGTTATGTAGGTATTTAAGTTAATGTGCTCTTATGTCATGTGTGCTGTATATATTCATGTTGGGAATCATTTTTGCAGTTTTTCACGAACACTTAATATTTCCTGAATTTAGGTATAATTTTTTAGATGGTATTGCATATGCCTCTTCTTTTAATCCTTTTTCTACTAAAATGCATTCAAAAACTTATGGAGTGAATAATTATAGGCACAACAAGAAAGTATCATATGTGATTCCCTATTAATTTTACCTCACTTTACTTTCCATGTTCTAAGTTCATTTGCATTTGATTGAAAACTGATAAATCAAATTTGCCATCCAACTGATTGATACAGCCTAATGCAGCACATTTTACCATCCTTCCAAAACAGAATTGAACAATGTCGTATCAAGATCAAGTATGAAATTAAAATTTTGTAAGATCTCCAAACCATCACTAGATGATTAAAAGAGAAAGGAGCTATGATCTGTCCATACCCTGTTAGATGACAAATACGTCAGTTTGCATCAAGGGACCTTAGTTCACACTAGAGTGCCTCGAACATCTTATTTTACGCTCTTTAAAGAGTTATGGCACTCTTGTCATGTTGTTGAATAGCTGCACAAAAAACAAGATACAAATATCGTTTATAAAAGATGGAATGTCATTTAACTCTACCCCTTCATTGAACGAGTTCAGACGTATTATTATCTCAAACACGAACAGTGGCGTAACACCAAAGGCATTTAATGCTCATTTTGTACAAATACAAATATACAAATACAAAATCTTTATTACCTTCGACTGAAATACATCAGTATAGGCATTGTCAGAATCAATATAGCACCTAGTGTATCAGTAATGTTGTTAATGAAAACAAGAAATAGGATCACATTTAAATTTTTTTATCGTCTTTGGGCACTTCAAATAAATTGTAACCATCATTCTTGGCTACCGAACAAGACATTTGAAATAGCAATGTTCCTAACAAGTGCGGAAAGCGATACTTTCCCGCACGCGAATGCCGTTGACCCGAACGACGCATGAATTAGGAACAACATTTTTTTATCAAGGCTAGAAAATTGATTGATTTGTTCAATCAATTATTCCTGCACATAGGAACAACTAACAATAGTGATATATTCTCTATTTTCTAATAATTAGTGATATATCTATTGTGTGTACCGTTTGAAGCATTATGTAGGCATAGATTGAATTTTAATCTATGATGTAGGTAAGCTTATTGTGCAAGCCAGCATGTCCATAATGTTTGGCCTCTAGGTTTCAGACATTTCTAGGGAATGAGCCAGAAATACGTCTACTTTATTTGGTGTTTTCACTTTTTTACTATCGCACTATTCAATAAATCCGCTTCTCATACTAAGACTTCGTTGGCAATAACTCATCTGTATCGCATCTGTAGCTAGAAGCTTTTCATCACAATTCCACTGAATCGAAAATGACAGTAACGCTCTGTCTGTCATTCTGAGAATTACACTAACTAATTTGTGTTTTGATCGACATGACAACAATTGTCTCCCACATTTGATCAATTTAAGGCTATAGGGGGATTTATTTAAGAATCAATTATTATTTTTCAATATTTCTTCATTTTCACAATAAATAGTGCAGTTTGATGGGTGATTTTGTACAAACTTACTGAATACTGCAACAAAAGAAAACAAAATTTTCATACTGTGTCACCCACCACTTATATTTTGCGAGAATATTATATAAATGTTTTCCGCACTAGTGTGGGAAAACTTTTTCCGCACTACTGCGGGAAAATGACACTTCGCAAACAAAATTGCGTGCGGGTATAGGGTGAATCACGCACGCTTGTAGAAAAACATTTTTGCGGGGACGTCTATTCAATTTTCAGAACTGAAGTTTTGAATCTTAGCATGATGACAATTCGGAAATGTCAGTGGTGAGAAGAGTTTTCTCCGCCTTTAAAGGTCGTGAAATGAGATGTTCATGGCACTCTAGTACACACTAGTTGAATGGGGTTGTACAGGGTGTCCCAAATTGATTGGTTTCTGCAGTTTTTCCCATTTCCAGGATAGCTAGGGAAAAATGACGAAGGGGTCTAGAGCTCCATTTTTGTGAAACGTCGATTGGTAAAAACCGCATTTTGATATCTCTAACCATTTCCGAGATATAGACGAAAATTGACATTCGACCGATTTCGAAAATATGCCATACCATTTTCATTTTTGGATGTTTTTCTAAACAGGAAAAACTTTATTTTCCACCAATCGACGTTTCACAAAAATCGAGCTCTATACTGCTTGCTCAGTTGTTATCTTGCTGTTCTGGAAATAGAACAAACTGCCAAAATCAGGCAATTTGGTACACTCTGTACACACTAGTCGAATTTACGTCACATACCCATTTTATATAGATCATTTCATGTAAAATAGTATTTGATACAGTCATGCATTATTTGTATTCAGAATTTACTGCACCGTGTATTACAGAAATTGACTGCAAAATTGGATGAACATAGAACATATCCTATTTTTCATTTATTTTATGTTGAAGCGCTTGCACATAACGCCGGTATTTAACCTTCGAATTGTTTGTTCTGTTTTGAAGTGGAAAACAATTTTTTCGGGTTATGGTAATGTCACTTTGTTGGTATTTTGAAATTCAGATAATATCAGTTCTATAATGGTTTGGTCTTCGAAGCTATGTTCATGTTGGTGCCTTAATTGAAGAATCAATCAAACACCCAGAAACTCTCGAGTAGACTGACATACTTTGACAAAGTTGAAATGGAATGAAAGCCTACCTCATTTCTGGTGAAATACATTCTCGCACATTTGTATCTTTTTCAGTTTATTCTGTCCAGAACAAAAGTGAACTGATCATTATTTATTTTTATGAAATTTGTAGATACCCATATGATACAGGGTTTCCACGGGTGTTTTCTTTGGAGCGATTCACAAGACAATTTTTTTATATTCTTTCATTCCGATTTTTTTTAACAAATATGCTGAGCATATCACCCACGTTTGCTGAACTGCAGACAGATATTTTAATAGAAACTATTACTTATATCATTCTTGAATTTTGAATATCTTCTTCCAAAAATATATTTTGAGGCTACTGTACACGCACAACCGACATGTTCATCTCCTGATTATATTATTTCATAACATGCATATGCCCCTTATCACAATATCTTATCTGTGATCTTATGTCATGTCATACAGCACCGAGTTTTCCCACAGAAAATGATTAAGATTATTCTGAATGTTTTATTGTGTTCAATAATGATTCACTTCATGAGTGAAAAACTTTCATATTTGAAGTTTTTATTTACCTCGTATAGTTGAAGCTGTAGGTAGGGGTCAAAATATACGGAGACAGCCTGTACTCACTGTTTCACTTTAAGATATGTTGTAGAATTCACGGTAAAAGGATCCTGCGCCGCATCAATGGGAACTTGGCTTTCGGTGAATTTATTCGAATTTTTGATATATTGTAGAACTCGTGGTGCTTAGCAAATGTCTGCATTGCACCAACGCTCAGTTAAGATTATACAAGGTGATAAAGTTGACTTCCAAAATTTTAGATAAAAATTGTGAAGAAACCTTTCATAATTTCAAAACCAAATCAACTGTGCATTGATTGTTCGAGTGGCCGATACGAATCTACTATGAAGTGTAATGATTCATGTACGTACTATAACAATATGGGTCGGAACATAGCGAACAATTCAGTGGTTTTCGGAAAAGTGGGCGGTGGAATTTCATTTAAATTCTGTAAATATCATTCCCAATTCGTGATATTGTTATCTCCGAATCAGACATATTATATACAAAATGTTTTATTTTTGATAAAGTCACATCTATGTTAGGTACTTATTATTGGCATCCTTATTTTGACTTACAACTTGAACAACGTATTGGGAAACTCGTTCATTCCTAATAACTTCTCAAGAATAGTATGTAAAGATTCTTGTGATCCATTTTATTGACCCTGTTTCATAATGACATCATATTCAATAAAAATAATTTGAACCATTGGATGTAGTATATTTTGAATAATATGTAAGAACGTACTGCACGTATCATAATAGGTTTTTAACGTGAAACAATTAACAATAGGAAACAAAAACAATGAATATATAATTATTATTGGTAACAAAATATTCTGATACTCAATCACAACAGAAGTTCTGAACCTTACACATAGTGAATTACTTTCATGTTATGACAAGCAATTGCGTTTCCTCGATCACTATTTCATAAAACGAATTCGTTTCTTGAAATAAAGTAGTTGAATTTATTCAACTTCTTGAACAGTTTCCAGAACACAACTCGTCATACTCAATTCGAGAATACCTCAACCCTCAAACAAGAATAAGAGTAGTAAACTCTTTATTATCAATGATTAATTCCAATAAAATAGATCACAAGAATCTGTACATACTATTCTTGAGATGTTATTAGCGAAGACCATTAATTCTTCATCCACTCCGTATATTTCACTTATCTGCAGGGTGGACATTCATAATGGAATGAACGAGTTTCCCAATAGGTTGATCAAGTTGTAAAGTCATAAAAACGATCCCAATAATAAGTATCCAACATGGATGTGTCTTTATCAAAAATAAAACATCTTGTATATAATATGTCTGATTAAGAGATGCTAATATCTCGAATTGGGGATGATATTTGTATACTACAGAATTTAAATGAAACTCCACCGCCCACTTTTCCGAAAACCATTGAATTGTTCGCTATGTTCCGACCCACCCTGTACATTGTTAGTACGTGCAGGAATTATTATACTTCATAGTAGATTCGTATCGGTCATTACTCATTCGAACAATCAATGCACAGTTGATTTGGTATTGAAATTATGAAAGGTGTCTTCACAATTTCAAAAATTTGCTCAGCACCACGAGTTCTACAAATCAAAAATTCGAGTAAATTCACCGAAAGCCAATTTCCCACTGATGCGGTGCGGGGTCCTTTTCAAACTTGCGACCTCAGCGACCGCCGGCGACAGCCGCAATATTGGGAAATGGCGTCGGAAATTGCTGATTTTTGCATCTTAACAATTTTTCTGTACGACGAATTGTAAGTTAAGCTGTAACGCTTTGAAATTGGTGCAGTTTACTGAAATATACGTAAGTAAGCACTTCCATGTAATATTTGCTGTTGAATCAATACCTAACATCATAGCTGATGATGAACCTATATAGGGTCGAAACATGTCCTAAAGCTTATAATCCTCGGAGAACACCTCCCTTGGCAATGTGTTCCAGAGCCTCACTGTTCGTTGGATGAACGAGTATTTGGAAAGAGATGTTCTGCAGGTCTCCAAATTGACCACGAAGGAGTGCGAAGCCTCAACTGGACGAGTTAATCTCGCGGGGACTGCCAAGGGAGGAACAATTGTAGATATTTCAGAAGAGCATCGTCCATGAAAATATCTATAAAATAGAACCAGATCGCCCACTTTTCTACGGTGTTCCAGAGAAGTGAGTGAGTTTGTGAGCGAGGCATCACCCACGAAACAAATTGCCCTATTTTGGGCAGAATCCAACAGTTTCAGGGTGCTGCACTCCAAATATGGGAACAGTATTCCAGGACAAGTCGGATCTGTGCCTTATAGATCATAAGCAGCTGACTGAAATTGAAATAGCTCCTGGCCTGAAACAGAAAACCAAGTTTTCGGGATGCAATTTTAGGAATTGATCTCATGTGATTTTTCCAAGAAAGGTTATTGCTAATAGTAATACCAAGCATCAAAATGGATGTCTTCAATATGCTCAAACCGAGGCTCAAACAGAAAGCAAGGGAGTTCAGAAACCATATAACAAATTGCTCCTTGTCAATATTATTTATTCTTCCATAAAATTGATAATATTTATTGTTGTGCTATGATCCACCAGTGGGAAAGTAATGAAAATAATATAAATTTTCGTAGATATTTTCCAAGATGGCGTCTCGCGTGGGCGGCGCCGAGATCGCAAATTTAGGGTTTCTATAAAATCCCCGAACTCTCAATCATATCCAACAATCAAACCTAACGTACCTTTTGCAGGGCAAGTTCCCCTGGGTACTGGAATGTATGTATTTTTGTCTTGTTGGAAAATTAATATATAACCTACTATTCTTATTATTAATACAGTTATTCTTATTAATTAGGATTTGTATTTTTTCTCTTTCTAGTCATTGCAAGCAATCGAATCTCCTTCTATATGTGAAAACTGTGTGCAAATGCTCCACAGTTTCGATAGATTTGCTACCATGTGCACAAGTAATGCTGCAAACATTGTGAGAAAAAGCTCCAACAATAATCTTCATACTAGAAAATCAAAAAATCCACAGCAGGCAACAGAAGAAGAAGAAGAAGAAGATGATGATGAAGATAATGATGCACACCAGGTTGGAGACATCGATTTGGAAAATGGCGTTGGAAGGTATGTCAAATTGAATCGATAATGATAGCAATAACAATATTCATAACCATTGGGAGCGGTGATCGAAGGTTATACCAAGATGCTTTCAAATTATTTTTTATTCCCTATGAAATCTCGATTATTTCGTAACAGTATACAGGATGTGCCAAAATAATATTCCTATACTTCGGTACCACGAAACGATTTGTGCGATCAAATTACCTTCAGCAAAGATTATTCATATGATAGACAACGACTGTGTAAAAATTGGCAACGCTCCGATGGGACGTAACGTTACCTTGGAGAATAAAAGGCCAGATGGCACTAGACGTAAGTATCTCGTGTTGTGTACCAGAGTGCCAAGGGAATTGTGAGAATGGTCTGAAAGTTCATGTTTCTCTTTCCTGTTTGATGCAAATCTATAGAAAGAGTGGATCACGCAAAGATTTCACATCTTCGTGCGATAAAGTCTGTGAATTACATTTGAGCAAAGATACTACTACTCCATCCACTGCAAGCCCCTGCATTATTTTTTTGATTCACTACATTTGTTGAAATGCATAAGGAATACTTGATTGGTTCATATCAAAACCCCATCAGAAATTCAATTATACTGTTTTAGAAACGAAAGAGTAGCTTCTTTTTATAGTGAAAAAACTCTTCACGAATCAGTACATGGTAAATTATTGAAATTTTGAAATTTGTTGAGATTAACGGTACTATTTTTCTCGAATATGGAAAGACAGAACGTTGCTTTGGCTCTGAATAATTTCAGTTATCTCATAGTACAGGCGATGCTGAATTCATCAACCTGATAAATACTGAAGTGGTGAAAAATTGTGAATGTCAAAACACCCCTCAAGGGCGAACGTTTAAATTATATGTTTCAAGAACCGATTAGGGCTGTACATTTTTGTTCCCATCAAAAATTAATTACCTTGTGTAAAATGATAGATTGGTTAAAAACTTGGAAATCTGGAAATTCTACTTATAAACTAACAGACCAAACACATATTGCTTTGATTCACAATATACATACAGTGCGTTTCCTTAGTGTCCCCCCCCCCTTTATTTTTTGAACGGGTCAACGAAAAATATTGAAACTTGAGGTAATGAAATTGATGCATGAATACTATATTTTGGAGTAAAATTCACACTTAATTTTTTTACTAGATGGCACCCAGTCGCCATCTTCAATTTTAATCTGTCAATTTTACTCCAAAATACAGGGTGTTTCATGACTAATTGGAAATATTTCAACCATAGAATCTCGAACTCAGAATATGAAGATGTAACCCAAATCACCTAGATAAAATATGTCTCCTGTCTGAGTTTTATTCAAAAATTTTGAAATATTTTTTGCCCAGTTCTTCAAAACTATTTGACGTATCACTTTCATATTTGGAGGGAAGTGTAGGTATTATACATCCAACTGAATTATGTGAAATGAACTTTTCTAGCTATTACCAGAGGCGTACGACAGGGGCAAGTGACTGGTTGATCCTTCCCAAATTCTACGCCACTGGCGGAATTGCAATTTCATCAGAATTTTTCCATTCTTCAATACCGTCTTCGTAAATATTGTACTATTTCTTCATAGTGATAAAGTCATTATTTTTCGAGATATTTCAAGTTAAACATGGAGCAGCACAATTATTTTGATTTCAATGTGTATCAATAATGTCGATATTTTGGATCAATGGACTGCATTCATCAATCAAATGAAACTTCAATCAATATTAACATAAAAATATAACAGACGGGAGCTGTTACAGGGCGTTTTAAATTTTTTAATATATTACATAATTAAACACCCTGTAACAGCTCCTATCTGTTATGTAATTATGTTTTTATTGTTAATATGGATTGAAGTTTCATTTGATTGATGAATACAATCCATTGATCCAAAATATTGACAAAATTAATGCACATTGAAATCAAAATGATTGTGCAGATTTATGTTTAACTTGAAATATCTCGAAAAATAATGACTTTATCGCCATGGAGAAAGAGTACAATATATACGTCAAAATTGTTGGAGAATCGAAAATTAGTGATAGAATTGCAATTCCGCCAGTGGCGTAGAGTTTGGGAGGGGTCAACCAGTTCATTGCTCCTGTCGTACGTCTCTGGTAATAGTTAGAAGAGTTTATTTCACATAATTCAGTTGGGTGTATAATACCTACACTTCCCTCCAAATATGAAAGTGATACGTCAAATAGTTCAGAAGAACTGGGCAAAAAACATTTAAAAACACCCTGCAACTCAGACAGGAGACATATTTTATCTAGGTGATTTGGGTTAAATCTTCATATTTTGAATTCGGGATTCTATGGTTGAAATATTTCCAATTAGTAATGTAACACAGTATTAATGCATCAATTTCATAAACCCTAGAGTCAATTCATTTCGTTGATGCGTTCAAAAAATCAAAAGGGGAGGGGGGGCATTGAAGAAAAGCACTGTATATGGAATGACACAACTTATTTGAAACCTATTGTTTTAATGAACTCATAATGAAATATGGTTTACTAGGAACATTTCACACAGATGATTTGGATGATAGGTTCAATGAATATTGTCAATTCTCAGGTGGGCGATATCACATATCTATTTGACAATTGTATGAATCAGAAAAAAATCAGGCGCTTCCACGAAAACATTGATTTCACTGAAGAAATCCAAGAAAATCATTCAGATATCATAGTCGGGGTATCTGATATATATGAAAAAACTGATGACATACCAGTTATAACTTATTTAGCTGGTTCTTCTTGCTTTATTACAATTAGAAAAAATTCAGTGCGAATTTTGTAAACTGAATATAAATTATAATGAAGAATTAATAATAGAAAAAAAAGTACACTGTCATAAAAAAATTGAGCAAGCTTTTATTGTGCAATTTTGTATTCATATATTATATATAACAAAATTATCTCTGAATTTGAGGAAATATTCATCATATTAAACAGGCATTTTTTACTCAATACATTCTCATATTTCTATCTGAAAACGGCCAATTGCCTTGTGGCAATGAAGGCAGAATTCAATCCAATGATCGAATTGCAACTATCTTATCAACATGTAGGTGAGAAGTTCACCTCTAATGAGATTAAATTAATACTAATTTTGCCAATATATTTAATTCCAATGCTATAGGTGAGTTCATAGTGGGTTCATCTAAGAATCGTCAAGAGGAGAAAAAACTGAATTGGATTTGATACTTTTTGTTTTCCGCCACCAATTCGTAACACTCATGAACAGAAAGTTGAAAGAATGCCAATTTGAAGAGTTTTGATATCATGAAATCAGTTTCAATAAATTATTTGATATCTACTAGTTGAATAATCGCTCAAAAAACTTACTTAGATTAGTTACTTCTCGTATTTACTTTTACCATTTTGAAGCAGAATGTTGAAATTATGTTAATTTGAAAGGAAAAAAATAATTTTTCTTTGGATGTATGATAAATTGATATTCATCATACAGGACCTGGAAAAAGATCTGAATTGAGGAAAACCTAATCATGAATCTGCGATTGAGGTCTATAAAAATAACAAGTTTCCATCGTTCAAGTTTGAACCCCTTGATTGGGTGAAAGTATTAAAAAGAATATTCTCAGATATGTTTATGAACACGAAAAAATGGATGTATAAATAAAGAAATACATTGAGAGTTCGCATTCTCCATGTGATGAAAATATTAATTCTTTCTCTTATTATATTTCTTATTAATGTGCATTTTTCTTGAAGTCGAATCTGGATTCCCAGTCCCCCCGGTTGGTCAATGAATTCGAGGAAAATTTACTTGATAGTTTAATACTTATGGAGGAATGAATAATTATCCGAAATCAATAAATCACCCTGTATCTCCGTTATAAAGACTTTGAGATGCTATTTTCAGAACCACCTTGGCGACCCCTATCTACCATTGACATATTTCCCTTTACCTGTGAAACACCCTGTATATATTCCGTTTTGTCAATTTTTGATATCAAGCCATTTTGATCACATTAACTATACATAATCAATTTGGTTGACCCAGCCAGCTCCACAAAGGTGCCTGCTGTCACAACTAATGAAGTGTCATCTGCAAATAGTGCTTTGCATCAATATGCTCAGGCATATCGTTGAAAAACAATAAGAACAAAAGCGTCCCCAGCACTGAACCCTATGGAACACCAAGTCTGTTTACTGGAATAATAGTACTCAACCTTCACAAACATCAGTCTATGATCAAGATATCCACTAATCCAATCAAGAAAAATTCCTCTGAATCCCAAGTTGGGTAATTTTTTTTGTGAACAGGAATTACAGTTGCTAATTTGAAGATCGGGAATTTGCCAAATGAGATTGAAAAATTGATCAGATGGGCCAGATTCCCAGCTACAGGAGTCGCTACAGATTTCAATATTTTTCTAGAAATGTTATCAATCCCGGTATTGTTTCTGTTTTTCAAATCATTAATAACGGATAGCAATTTGTCAGATCTGACAGGATCGAAGAGAAATGTTTTGTTAGCCATGGAAGACACTGTACATACATACTTTTGATCTCGAATCACCAAAACGGCTCACTAAACTTGCTTTAGTTATGCTCGCGAAATTATTTCCAAAGATATTGTGTGAATATTACTTTTTATATTCAAGGTTATACCTGGTAAACCAGCGTTAAAACATAATGATCGCTTAAGTTAGCTTCGAATACGTTTGCCACAATATATAAGAATATAATTGACTTTAGTAGAGGATGGTACGCCATTTTTGTATTCAAAATTTCGTTAATACTCTAGTAGATGACAAAGAGCTCACATTTAAATTATAGCCTAATTACAGAACATACAATAATCAAATAGTGAAAATTCAAGTCACCACAAAAGAATATAGAGCTATCAGAACTTTTTTTTTTTTTTTTTTTTTTTTTTTTTTTTCTTTATCGATTGGAGCGCACGAAAGGGAATCCCTATAATGTTCAAAGATGAAAAACCCTTTTTTTTCTGTGACTTTAAATGAGTTTTGCATCTCATCTCTGTTGACGAGTTACAAAATGTCACTTTTTATGAAATTACTTTTTTCCCACGGGGAAAAAGTGAATACTTTTCTCCCGGATATATATAGAAAGAATTGCAAGTCCTTTTTTATCTTCACAACAATACCTCCAGCTGAAATCTAATTTTTTTATCCCTGGTATAATAAATAACTATTTTCTAACCTTGATACTTGCATGTGTCCAAAAGATTTGTTTAGATTGTCACTTTAATTTTTTTGTATATGCATTAGCTAGCGAGTCACCCTCTACAATTTGTTAGTAGGAAAATTTTTTGCTCAACTAGAAATCTAATGCAATCAGGTAATTTGAGATTGAACACAACCAATCACACCAACATTATACTGATAATTGCATTCAGTGCAACTATCAATAACTATGACAAAAAATGTTCCGCCGAATATCCCTCGGACAAATGCCTCATAATTTTATGACAAATGTCTCAAGCTCGTAACAGCGATTGTCATACAATTATCTCGTCTATCATCAATGTCCTAGGAATATTACTACTGATAATTATTTTCATCATTTTCTTGATGGTCCTAATATAGAGAGCGTAACAGGTATGGAGCCTTAAAAAAACTTGGTTATTAGTGGCAAAAAGTGCAGTGTGGCCATTGAGCTCAAGAATTCTAGTGTTCAAAATGATATCATTATCGTTATCGGTCATATTGAATTGATCAAATACAAGAGTTGAATGGACGTCCGATCAATCATGACGGAACTATTTTTCTTTCCAGAGAATCGACAGTAGTTGGCCTAGAGGGCGCATTGGAGTTTCTTTCGAAAATGTGCAATTACTCGCCAGAAACCAAAACTACTCACTGCTACAAATGTACTTATAAGACCGTAGACGAGCTCGATTTGAAGGCTCACCTAGAGTCACACTTGCCAAAAGGGCGATACGCCGGAATACGAGGCGATCGTGGCAGATTTTACAAGTGCCCGCGTAAAAATTGCTCTTTTCTTAGTCGAAACACTATTAAGATTATAATCGCACATTCGAAGACCCACGGCAAGAAAATCAACTGTTTTATGTGCGGCGAGCGTTGCGACGGTATCCCGGCATACCGTCGACATACTAAGCTAAAACACAAAGAAGGAGGCTTTTACAAGTGCGATGTTTGCCCATTTCTCTCTAAGATATGGAGAAAGTACGAAAGGCATACCGCTAGCCACAAAGACCAACTGCTCCAGTGTCGTTCCTGCCCTTACAAAACCAGATACAAGCGGGATTTGTTGAAGCATCAGTACATCCATTATCATGACGAAGTTTACTACTGTCACGACTGCTCGTACTCGACGAAAGTCAAGCAACGTCTTAAGATGCACGTTTTATTGCATATGAGCGACTCTCGATCAGTATTGCACAAGTGCGAAAAGTGCGAATTTTCCACCAAATATTACTCGAGCTTGCAGAAACATTGCAAAAGAAAACACTCCGACAATCCCCTGTACCAGTGTGATTTTTGTCAGGCCAAATTCAAGTGCGAACCAAATCGAAGAATGCATACCATTCAGTTCCACGGACCCAACGACGAAGTGCGAAAAAAGTACATCAGAACATGTCCTAATTGTGATTATGAAACGTTCAATATGGGACACATGAAGCTACACATGGAACAAGTGCACGGCATTCCAGTCGAGAAGGAACGTTTCCAGTGTAGCGAATGCGATTTCGAAAGTATTTATAAGAGCAGCATGAAAATACATTTCAAACGAAAACACACTATGGGGAAGTAGTAATCACCAATTATCTATTATTCTATACCAAGAAGTAATTAATTTATCATTTAATGATTATGTTATACCGAAAATTGATCTTGAAATAATATATTTTTATTCTGAATAAAAGGTGTTCAACGTTGTAACAACAATTCATTAGTCATGAAGCAGTTTCGGTTCTAGTATGTTGAATATGAAAGCGTGATGGTACCTAGTTTCCAAAATCGATGAAATTTCATAAATTGAGATTGAAATCACAAGTTCGATTTGAAGTCCATTATTTGTGTTCTTATAATCGATTTGCATGGTTTTCATGATGTTTTTTTATTTCGCGTTAATGAACTCATTATGACACCCAAATGCGTATCGAAACAGCTTCTAATAGGAAACGCTGAATTTCTTGTTTCAAAGTTGGTAATGGTAACGCCAACGTCACACTGTCAGACACACTAGCGTCTAGAGCCAGAACGCAACAAAAAACTATAACATTACAGGTATCTTTAGCATTTATTACCTACCTATTAGTATAAAATTTGCTAGCAAGTTTTGTTGGGCTGTTGTTGAGATAAAATTATGCTCATTGGTCTGATTATTCAAGTTATTGTTTGTGCAATGCGACTGTGAGGTAGAGGCAACAACATTTTTTGTAGAAGTTGAAGGCTGAGATGAACAAATTTGAACTACCTAACTCAATTTTTCTCTTCGCTGAAGCTTATAATATTTAACCTCCAGCGGCTGCTAAGGATTACACCGCCTCTATTTGCTAAATGGGACACACTCGAACGCCGAAAACAATGCCCTGTAAATATCTCAGGATTTGTTAATTTAGGATATTCTGCAATGAATCTTGGAATTTTTCCAATTGTGTTAAGTATTTCTATTTATGCAGTAACCATTGCGGTATATTGGTCGACCAGAAGGGTTTATATTTACATATGGTGGTAACAAAGGTCGCCAGTTTGACACTATAATTGAAATTGTGGATTTTTTTTCCAAAAGCTGGACAAGGTTTCTTGGGAAACATATCATTCATAGCTGTTTGGGCAAATTCCCTGAGGTCAGGCGGGGTGCAACTTGAGAGTGCCTCTTTAGTAATTCTAAAAATAGGAAATTCAGAATTTTGATAGACCAACAATTTCAAATTATATCACTGGAATAATTAATTTCAATAATTTTTCTACCATCTGTCAAATTTGGGAAGAAAACATCCAAATGTTTTTTCATACCTTATATTTATGAATTTTTTCAAATAAAGGAACAGATGAATGCAAATTAGAAAAAATAGTATATTATACACATTTCATAAGACATATTGTCGCACTAGTTTTTTTGTGCGACAAAAGAGTGTTATAAAACTTGTATAATAATTTACTCTTTTAATTCATGCTATTGACAGTCCCACTATTTCTATGTTGGCATACTACAAGAGTCTTCACAAAGTTACTTTTCCATGAGCTCAGGGTTCGTGATCATTTAAGCGGGATGCATATTTTCAATCATCATATTAGTAGAAGATCCGAACCTAAATCGACCTTCACCGAGCTGATAATAGAACGAAATATATTTTATCATGAATTTAGTATATTAGAAAACATATTAAAAATGGGTTCGCTAAAAAAATCCTGGGCGGACTATTTTTAATTATTTTTCGAAAAATGATTTTAAATTAAATGTTGCAACATCAGGATAATAAAAAAAATTTGTCCTGACTGAAAGTATAAAACGTATAGAATGTGCAGCCGTTGGGTTGTCTACTATTTACCTGGGCGAACTACTGGGTTGTCAGGTAACACAGGTATATCGATGCCAGTTACTTTCACTGGATTGGATAATTAATATTTATTTAACCAACTAGTGTATTAATGAGGGCGATTAATGATCGAGATATTTTAACGTGCGAGCGAAGCGAGTGCGTTAATGTTCGAGATCATTAATCGCCTTTTAATATACAAGTTGGTTACAAAATTTTTCCGTCGACTATATATCTCATTTCTCCTGCAATGAAGAAAACTTGGTTCGCGAATTCATCATTCATCCGGAAACTGCTAAGAATCACCCAGTAGCCTTGTTACTGACATTAGTGTCATTTGACATTCTATACGTTTTATACTTTCAGTCAGGACAAATTTTTTTTATTATCCTGATGTTGCAATATTTAATTAAAAATCATTTTTCGAAAAATAATTGAAAATAGTCCGCCCAGGATTTTTTTAGCGAACCCATTTTTAATATGTTTTCTAATACACTAAATTCATGATAAAATATATTTCGTTCTATTATCAGCTCGGTGAAGGTCGATTAAGGTTCGGATCTCAGACTATATGGCAGGCATAGAGTGATTCATGAGGAGACTCACATAGTCAGATGGTGCATAGAGAAAATCAAGACGAGTTGATGTTTATGTATATGAAAAAGTTTGTTGGCCATCCATAACGAAGATACAGGGAATTTTGTGAAATTGCAATACAATTTTGATGGCCGATATTTCAGAAATGATTCATCGTGATTCGCTGAAAATTGGCAGCGAAGTTTTTTTACTGTTAGTATTCCAGATGGCCTATTATGAAAAAAAAAATCCAGATCCGGACCTGGGAAAAATTCATGTTTTATTGGTATGTCGAAAAAGTTTTCCTTGTGATCACTTATCTCGAAAAATTTAATCATATTCAGAAAGATCAGACAAAATGCCATAAGAACTGCTCTTCAATTTGCACGGTACGGTATGTCATGATCGCACAAATTTTGCTTTCGCTCCGCCTCACAAATTTCGCTTGTCGAACAAAGTGTCACTTTTGATCCTAATAAAACAATCTACAATTTTCTACAAACGCCAAAAAATGACAAGGTTCGCGCATTGATAACAAATTGCAAAGTGACACTTTTTTACAGTTTCCTACCTTGCACAAAACAATGCGCGAAGTAAAACAGTGCGCGAAGTACCTACTTCGCATTGTTATGTAAAATATATGAGATATTCATATTTCAACGTCATGGTCCTCAATCGAGCAAACATCCACGAAATCATTTATTTCTGAATGTTCAAAAATAACTTTGTTTTATCTCTTGGAGCGCACGAAAGGACATTCCTATTATGTTCGTGGAACATCGTGCGTACCTAGGGAGGATAGGGAGAGGCCTTTTAAGCCAGTTCCACACCATTTTTTATATTAAGCTAAGCATATTTTTACTTCAGAACTATATTTTTTGACGTTTGTAGAAAAAATGTTGTTTCTCGAGCGCGAAATACTTTGGTCATCTCGACCAAACTCGGCTACGCCTCGTTAAAAAAATCAGATCTCGATCACCAAAGTAGCATTTCGCGCTCTAGATACAAAAATAACTATATAGCGATGGCCATCAACATTTTCTCAGATACCTCATCCACTGATTCGGAAAAAATCTACAGGGTGATTATTATTTTTCCTCCACAAAAAAATGAATCACTGAATCCAGGCCTGAAATAAAAAAATATGTTGATTTTCATTAAGCAGAAGCATTGAAAATGTAAGTCTCACTTTTATTCGTAAAATTTGTGGGTGGCGCAGTATTGATTTTCAAATAGATGAATTTTTTGCCAAATTTCCGTTTTTTCCATCAAACTAATAGTTTTTTTCAAACTGCAGTGAAAGTGTGAGCAAAATTTGGAATATTTTATTTTTGATGTTTGTTTGTGACCTTCAAAAATTCCCTGTCACAGTTTACAAAAACGATATACAGGATGAACTTTTTGCTATAATCTAAGCTATCAGAAATTTTCAAGAACGGTCCTGGATTTTCACGATTCTGAATAAGTCAGTCGAATAGAGAGTAGTAGCGGAATATTCTATGAGAAAATCAGACGAATCGAAGAAGCTGTTGGAAAGTTATGACTGAAAGATGATTTTGCCAAATCTCATAATTCCCCCTATGTATTGGAAAAAAGTGAAGAAGACACTTTCTGATAGACAGTAGGTATTGCTCTCAGGGGCCTCTATTCGTAGTAGGAGTATGTACAGTTCCTCATGACTCACCCTGTATAGTCACAGAAACGATATACAAGGGTGTTCGGAGATGAAACCGACAAAACTTATGGGGTTAAAGGGCCTGCCAATATGATTGTAAAATGCCATATACAAATGTCCAGAACCGCTTCGTTACTGACATACAGAGTGATTTGTGGATTCTGACAAAAAATGCAATCTGTCATATTGAATACATGGATTACCCGATTGGGTTGATATTTGGTCCATAAATTAAAATTAAAGGCCTCAACAAGTAGCCCTTTGATCGAAACCAAAAGCAGGACAAGAATATTATTTTTTCGTATGTTGAGTTATTGTGAGAATAACTCACCCTGTATAATAATTATCACAAATCTGAGGTCATTATGAGTCTCCGGAAAAAAATACATGTTGAGGAAGTTGCTGGCACAATTTCAGTCATTCCGTAATGAATTATTATTTTTTTTTATTAATTGTCGGCTAAAATAAGTACAGGGTGTCCCTAAAATGTCTCTACAAAATCTCAGGATATATTCCTGAGGTCTAAGTAAGCCGATTTGAAGCATTTTATCTCAATTCGAAATTGCTCTATTTTCGAGATACAGGGTGGTAAATTTAAAAATTGAAAATCGATTTTTTAACGTAACACTTTGAAAATTGGTAGCCGTGGGATCTTTGGGTTGCGGAACCCGAATATGGACACATTTCCACTGTGGCCACTAGAGGGCGCTTTTTTCTCAATGAACTTTTTCACTTTTTCTATTGATGACATAATGTTTCTAATATTTCTAAACAAAAAAGGTACCTACTCTTGTGAAAATTCGCTGAAGTAAGCCGATTCGGGATATTTCGCTCGCAAGTGTTCGATGTCGCACCGGAATATTTAAATTATTTTAAATAAAAATGCAGTTTTGCTGTTCTCTTTGTGAATGTAATTTGGTCGATGAATGAGTAGTGCGAAAATGGATTTTCCGAAATACTTTTTTGGGATGTACTTTTTGATTTTTATTTTTAAATTCACCATGTATCTCGGA